GTATAGTATAGTATAGTATAGTATAGTATAGTATAGTATAGTATAGTACTACATCGTTTGAAGTTTGGCAAAAGAAAACTAGACCCACAAATAGAAATTGGTACTTAACTGTTCTTGCAGGTACAAACCAAAGATGGGTCCCACCTTGAGTTTCCATATCACCCTAATGCAGACGAACATTCCAATGATAGTAATAATAGTAAATAATATTGTATAAAGCTTTAAAGTGTTTTTGATGCTCACTCTACTCCAAGATACTATTAGAGAAGTGAAAATGGAACCCCACAGAGCCTAATGAGTTTATCCAGTGCAGCTGAAGGGGTAGAGATGGGACTTACACCTTAGGACCCCAAGCCCAAACGCTGTGCTCATTTCCACCACATCATGTTACCTTCCCACAGGGAACGATGAGCCACCCCAGGATAGAGGGTCCCTGATACATGTAAGATGGCATGCACAGGTCTATAGGATGCAGAATCAGGTTGAGTGGACAACCTTCCAGAGAAGATCATATCATACACTCTACAGAACATTCTGAATAGAAACACTGACTCCCTCTGCCCTGAGCCACAAGGTGTGAAGCGTGTTCTTGTTGGGCAGATTCCCCCAAGTTCTAGCATAGCTCCTAGCCAAAAACAGCTTTCCTGTAACTCCTGAAGGAAGGCCTGATCCACAACAGGGATCTCTTGGAGATGTGGCCAGTGAATGGCAGCTAGATGGGTAAAGGGTCAGAAACACAGGGATGACGAGGAGAATGCCACAGCTCACATTAGAAGCCTCCAATCCTACACCCACCTTTCTTCGCAGGTATTACATGGGAGCCACACCCTCTATGATCTTCAGTTTCCTGCTCTGTAGAACAAAGATATCTGCCACATGATGTAAAAAAGGCTACACAGTATGGCTTTCTTATGGAATGGAAAACTGCTTCCATTTATCAGACTTCCACAAAGCTGCAAAATTCCAAAGCAGGGTTCATGGGTGAATGGGAGTTATACCCAGTTACTGAGTGAAGGAGTATTTACTCCATAGTTAAGTCCCAGGTACTTTCTCATAGGACACTATAACATTTACCTTTAGAATGTTTGAAGTGAACAGAAGGCCATGCTCCCTGGGTCACTATGTGAGATGTTAGGGCAAAGCCTTTCTGGGAAAACAGCAGAGCCCTTCATGGCCTAGAATTCTTTCCAGAACAAACTCTAGGACCCAAACCTGTATGATCCTTGAATGACCTTTGGAGCTTTCATAAAATACAGACTCTGGGACTCCACTCCTAGAAATTTGAATCTAGTGTGCCTGGGAGGGGCTCAAGAATCTGTATTCAAGGAAAAATTTCTCAAGTGATTCTCAGCAACCTCTATGAGAAATTTTCCATAAGCTAACTTAAAATTTTCAACATAAAATAATTTGTTGGTTTGCTATCCTGGTGTGTCTCAAGCTGGGAGATTTGAAAAATCCCCAAGCCAAAACCAACCACCCAGATCAATTACACTGGCCCCTTGGGGGGATCCAGGCATTAGTACATTTAGAACTCTCCAGGTGACCAATAGTGCACTCATCCTACAAAACGGTGGAGAGATCCTCAACCCTGTAAGTTGGGGGTCCTAGACTAGAACTCTGGTCCTATCATTAACCTTGTGCAAAATCCCCTTACCCTCTGAAGCCTCAGGTTCCCCTCAAAAGAAAGGTCCATAAGACGTTCATTCAGTGGAAGTAAAAACCAATTATGGCTCGCAGTGACATCTCTCTCAATGAATCACATTGTACTACTACATTTTTTATATTATCATTATTATTGCAAACATAAAATCTAGATGACAAGAGGAAGAAATCTGGACCTCATCATGTTATTTCTGGGTATTTATTAGAAATACACGAGTCTTGGGGAGCGTGGATAGCTCAGTTGGTTAAACATCCAACTCTTGGTTCCGGCTCGGCTCATGATCTCATGGTTCATGGGATCAAGCCCCACATCGGGCTCTGAGCTGATAGTGCAGAGCCTGCTTGGGATTCTCTGTCTCCCCCTCTCTCTGCCTCTCTATCTTCCCCCACTTGTGTTGTCTTTCTCTGCAAATAAATAAACTCAAAAAAATTTTTTAAATAAAAAAGAAATACACAAGTCTCAGTTGCCAAATGGTTCCCAGCCTCATTTGAGAGGACCTGGAAATACCTGGCCCCCAAGCCCTTTCCCCACCACACATGTTCCCTGCGAAGGCTGTGGGAGTGGTATAAGCAGGATAGTGGGGGAATAGGTGAGAATATCCATGCCCTGTATCACCATGCTAGCTGTATTTGTTTGCTAGGGCTGCCTCAACAACATACCTTAAGTTGGGTGGCTTAACCAATAAAAATTCATTGTGTCACAGTCCTAGAGGCTAGAAATCAACCCTCCCAAACCTAAAGATCTGTGACCATCCCCCCTGGGTCATGCATGCACACGCCTCAAGTCCCACTGATAGGGATAGGCTGCAAAACACATGCATGAGTGTGAGGTCCTGGTTAGAATGTCACTCCATCAAACTCCCTTGCTTTACAAGAAAGTCCTGTGGAGATTATACAAAATTCACTCTTTTTCCACCTGAAACTCCTCTGCCTGCCTCTACCCAATCTACTGGTGGCTAAAGGTGATTGATCAAACACTTAAAGTGTCACTAACTCAGAGTTGAAGCCAAGTGACCCGGCTCGTGGTCGGGACCTGACAAGGGCCATCCCCAGCTCAGCTCTGCCCTCTCCCCCTCCCTGGGCTCCTGGCCCTAAGCCCTCGGTGCTTGGCAAACTTCACAGCCCTGAGTTAAGAACACAGTTCAACACAGCAGGTAGGTCAGGGTGGGGTCTCTCTGAAACCCTACGTGGCAGCCAAGTGAAATGTGAACTCTAATATTTGTTTAACAATTTCTGCTTCTTCCAACACTTCCATACCTTAGGTTGTCTTCCTAACCTGCTCCTATCACTTTTCCTTACAAAACAGGAAATACCAGAATTTTTGAACAGTTAAATAAGTGAACTGACACTGTTTCCTCCTACAAATTGTTATATGGACTCAGAAGATAGTTTATGAATGAAGATTCTCATGGTACTCTTCATCAAGTGTATTTATTAACAAGCTCCCTTCTGTGGGGCAAACACCAACACTAATGCTGTGCAGGTAAAGAAAGATAAACAAAAACACATACCTGGAGACAAAAAATAACCGCTTTCCATTAACACATAGCCCATGCAATAGAAGTGAGGAGTGAGCACCGTTTTCCAAACCAGAGCTATGGCCCAATGAACTCCCTATGGAAATACAACAGGGAGGGCATAACATGAAGCTCTGGAAACATTCAAATTAATTACAAACAGGGTCTGGTTTGTTGGAAGCTCTGTATCCAAGAATACCTTTCCACGACTCAGCAAGTTTATAGCTCTTTCGAAGCTTGGCAAGTGTCCCCATGCTGAGGAGAAGCTATCCCCTTCAAAACGTGGAAAGTCCCTGTGCAAATCAAAAATGACATCGTCATGGCAACTCACGGATGTTTCCACTCAAATCGGGCCTTCCGGAGCCGGCTGAAGAAAGGCAGTGAAGACCCCTTCGACGAGGCAAAACTGGGCATGTAACTCAGACTCAAAAATCGCCAAGGGGCTCACACCACAGTGCAGTCAGGCCCCTAAAAATAATTTTGATAATAAGAGCTGTCGCCAAGTGAGTGTTTATTCCACAAACTGAAGTCAGATGCCTTGCAAGCTTTGGCTTGTATCATCTTCACAGCCCCATATCCTAAGTGCCATGACACTTCCATCTTATTAACGTAACCTGAACCCCTCCAGGTCAGCATCTTGCCCAAGGTCACATCTGTACATGACGGAGCCAGGTTTCCACATTCTGTTCGGCTCCAAAGTCCAAGTTCTTGCATGACTCATGCTTTCAACAGTTAGCCAACCCCAAGCAGAAATTGAATAGCCAATGAGATCAAATTGCCAAAGCAGACAGGATTGGCCTGATCCCAGAGGCCAAGACAGTGCACTGTCCAGCCACAATTGTCACTTCTCGAGTGGCCTCTGTGCCAATGTGCAGACACAGCCTCAGGGAATTCCATAAGTCTGAGAAGCAGGGGGTTTGATGGCTCCTTCATAAAAGAATCCAAGGGCTACAGTGCTTATAAGAATGTCAAAGAAATCTGATATTGACAAGCCAACAGGGCCTGAGGTTTGTCCTATTACATGACACACAAAACTGAGGTAGGAAAGCCCCAAATTAACATCTTGTCACTTTAAAGGCTCCACTAGCCAAAGTCTGTAGCAAAGACCATGTGTCAATAAAGATCTTGGGTTTGCCATGTTGGAACCTCTTAATCAAAAGCTTTGTTTCCTAGGTTCTATCAAAGATAAAAACTGTATATTCATTGTCTTCTTTATCAGGCTAAACAGTAGTAGCTGAAAATATGCCAAGACTTGACTTTAAAAATCCGTATGGGGGCGCCTGGGTGGCTCAGTTGGTTGGGCGTCCGACTTCAGCCAGGTCACGATCTCGCGGTCTGTGAGTTCGAGCCCCGCGTCAGGCTCTGGGCTGATGGCTCAGAGCCTGGAGCCTGTTTCCGATTCTGTGTCTCCCTCTCTCTCTGCCCCTTCCCCGTTCATGCTCTGTCTCTCTCTGTCCCAAAAAAAATAAATAAAAACGTTGAAAAAAAAATCCGTATGAATGAAAGTAACGACGTCTGCAATTTCTTGATTTATTTTTTATCATCTTGAAATAGCCAAAGTGAGAGGTCAATTGCAAAAGATTTCCCAGTTCTTCATTCATCCCTTTCCATGCCTCTTGCAATCATATTTTTCAGCTCATTCCACCTTTTGATGGAGCTGTCCTTTAAATGTGGGTGGTCCTTCTGACTTGACAGCCAAGAGAATGTGGTAGAAATGTGTAGAAGCTGTGCCATTTCTCAGCATAGGTGTCAAGATACATGAGGCCATCATAGTCCAGCAGCCCCCAACCCCACCCTAGCTGACCACCAATGATCACAGATACATGAATCAATTCAGCTGAGATCATTTGAGCCTGATCCAGCATAACTATGCAGCTGGCCCACAGACTCATGAGTCATAGTAAATGCTTATTGTTTTAAACAACTTAGTTTTAGGGTGGCCGGTTACACAGCTATAGCTGACTGATACAACAGGGTTCCCCAAGTATGAATGGAGACTCCTTCCCAAGAATCTCATATGGCAGATAAGAGCTTGTTCTGAACAAGACCATTCTCCTAGTCCATCACCATATTTACTAAAACATGCTGCTTCACAAAGAGCTACCATTTCTGGACTTTTAACACGTATAAGACACTAGGATAAACATGTTTTAGTGATTTTCTTATTTAATCCTCACTGCAATGTTATTTCTACAGCCACAAGGGCTGTGATTTAATAGTATCATTTTAATGATGAGGGAACAGATACTCAGACCAACTCGACTTAGGCCACACACTAAGTGGCAGATCCAAAAATGTGACCCCAAGGCCAACTTATCCCAAGTACACATCCTTACAGAGTGAACTTAAGAAGTTCTGTCTCTGTAATTAATTATGATGTGCTGGGATTAACAAGTTTGCACTGCGGCCACATATCAAGTTCACATATATTTTACAAATTGGAAGTTTCATGAGCAACCACCAAGTCCAGGACAGATGAGCACAGGCTAATCTAACTCTGTTCCCATGCCAACAGGGAGGAAAGGTTTTCTCCCTGTACAAAAGCAAAATAAGAGTCAAACGAAGTGTCACTTTTTCTATAAAGATAGTACATATTTTAGGCTTTGCAAGCCATACAGTCTCAAATGTACCACTGTACCAAAAAAGCAACAACAGGCAACGGTTGGTGTGGCTGTGGTCAATAAAATCTTCTTTACAAAAACAGGTAGTCTGCTGATCCATGGCCTAAGGGATAGAGCCAGGGGAGGGGAAATAGATTATAATGTTATTACCTTATAACGTTAGTACCTTCAGTCCCGAGAGTCAGGAAAAAAACAATAACAGCAAGTGTATTAAAAGTCTCTTACAGGGGCGCCTGGGTGGCGCAGTCGGTTAAGCGTCCGACTTCAGCCAGGTCACGATCTGGCGGTCCGTGAGTTCGAGCCCCGCGTCGGGCTCTGGGCTGATGGCTCAGAGCCTGGAGCCTGTTTCCGATTCTGAGTCTCCCTCTCTCTCTGCCCCTCGCCCGTTCATGCTCTGTCTCTCTCTGTCCCAAAAATAAATAAACGTTGAAAAAAAAAATTTAAAAAAAATAAAAGTCTCTTACATATAAATGATCACTGAATCATGGCAGGTATGCCAGAAATGACTTATTGTTTCTTACTGAACATGCTAATCTTGGTTGACCTGCAGTATATGCCAGCAGCACTGTGTTACGAAAGACCCAGAGGCTGTATTTCAGGTCCACAAAAAAAGAGCACTGTGATAGATGAGCCATGTCTGCCTTGGGCAAAGGAAGGGAGGAAAAATGCAGCAAGTCAGGTGTCCCACACGTTTGTCATGTACGCTGTTTCTTGTTTCCAATAAAAATTAATTGTTGATAATTCAGGCTGCTTTTCAGACACAGGTGTGAATAATCCTCTGAATGCCTTTACAACACAATGATCTGATATCTTCAAACAAAGCAGCCCAAAAGGAAAAAGCTGGTCAATACAATGAAGCTAAAACAGACTGACCAAAATTGCCTAACCATTTTGTTTCAAATACAAGTATCAAACCAAATGACTCTGTTTCAGTTATAACCATCAAATCAAATAAATAATTCCATTAACCCCCTTGCAATAATATTTACCTGAGCAGTCTTGACCTGGGCAGAGTCAAGCAGCCTTGCAGGCACGGATTCCTATCAATGAAGGTGCTAGCATGTTAGTCACCCCTCTCTATGTTCAGAGCTAGGATGCAGAGACACAGAACTTACAGTAGGCACTGAAACATGTGAACTGTATTAATTGGCAATTATCTTTGGCCGAGCACACAGAGTCCTACCTGTCAGCTAAGAGCAGCTGAAAATCTGTTCAGCTAATGTGCAAAAGACCAAGTAACAGTCCATGAAAATACATCTTTAGATACCACTCATTTTATTCTCATCCTCTTGATACCTCATCTTGAGAATTTGGGACTATGAGACTTAGAGAGGTTTATTTTACAATATTCTATTTAGACTTGGACTGCCCAGGATGGTAGCCACTGGCCATACTGGCCACTGCAGACACTGTGCCTTCCATCCATATGAATTATTAAAGTCAAGTTTGCAAAGATGTACAGCTACTGCTCTCTAGCTTTATAAAGAAGACAATAAATATACAGTCTTTATCCTTAATAGAAAGAGGCTAGGAAATGAAGTGAGGAAATGAAGCAAACCCAAGTCACATGAGTCATCTTCAAAGTATCTAGTGGCTATCTCACTATATAGTCCAGCTTACAGAGCATGTCTGTCACTGAAGAAGATTCTTTTGAACAGCACCAATTTAGACTACAGTAGCCTATTCTACTAAAAACTCTAACTCTACCTGAGTGCCATGTTTCTGCCTGGAAGAGCACACTCAGCCCAAGAGCAGGGTAGTCCAGTGCCAACAGACACCCCTAGAAGCAGAGCTCAACAAATGACACTTGGGACTTGGTGGACTAAGACCCCACCTTCCTCGCTTCCTGGCTTGGGCAACTCTGAGGCATTCTCCTTGCGACAGCAAGTCCAAGATGTCCACGGTGATCACCTGTTGTGAACACACCCCTCACTGGCTTGACTGGGTTGGTTTCCAGAAGAACGCAACCAAGACAACTCACTACAGTCATTCACACATCACAAGACAGTCATGTTTCCCTTGGCTTATAAGGATGGTGTTTGAAAACTAGCTGATTTCACTGGTGAAAAGGTGGTCATTTATGGAATCAATAAATGGGAGCTCTCAAAAGAAAATGTCTGTCACCTTACTTTATATCATTCTTTATTTATTTTTTATTTTTTTTTATTTATATATGAAATTTATTGTCAAATTGGTTTCCATACAACACCCAGTGCTCATCCCAAAAGGTGCCCTCCTCAATACCCATCACCCACCCTCTCCTCCCTCCCACCCCCCATCAACCCTCAGTTTGCTCTCAGTTCTCAACAGTTAAATAATTTTTTAACATTTATTTATTTTTGAGACAGATAGAGCATGAGTGGGGGAGGGGCAGAGAGAGAAAGGGAGACACAGAGTCCAAAGCAGGCTCCAGGCTCTGAGCTGTATAGCGTTCTTTATTGTTTTTATTTTTACTGTGTTGTTATTTCTCAGCTTCATCATTTGCTTAATTGCTAAACTTACCTTTGAGTCATTTTAGCTGTTTCCAAAAATCAAACCGCCCTCCAAAGACATTTGACCCCACTGAGGACAGAGAAGGCAGTATGTCCCTGGTTCTGAAAACTTTCCCACAGTCCAGCTTAAGGACCTTTGGGCTCATATCAAATCATTAAAATAAATCATCCAAGTCCCATGGAGATGATCAGTGCCCATTTGTATGCTTTGTTTCCTGTATGACTTTTTAAAATTTGATTTCTTCAGAGTCAAACCTGTCTGCTTGTCTACTTCTCTTTGGCTATTTTTTCTAACAGCTTTATTCAGATATAATTAACATATCATACAGTTAAGCCATTTAAAGTGTGTGGTCCAACATGTTTTTGTATGTTCAAAGGGTTGTACAACTATCTCTCCTGTGCTCTTCCTTCTCCAAAATGGTAACAGGCAGTCAGCAATCTCACACACATTATTCCTGTTCGACGACTCAATGGCTATATCCAAAATCAAAGTCATGTTCACTGAAGGATCATTTACTACCGCTGGGCATATAGAAAAGAATAAGCAATAGTTATACTAGTGTGGCTTTCTTCCTTTCCATTTAAAAAAAAATTTACCATGTTCAATTATTGATTTATCTATTTACACTGAAAAAAAAAATTTACCAAGACTGAACTCAGTAACATTTTGTTTGCTCAACAAAATGTAAATGCACACACAAAAATGTATTCTTTTTTAAAATTCCATTCCTCCCTAGTTCTCTGATTCTTATTGATGCCACAAACCACTTTGGTGAAATACTTCCCTCCTCTTCCCACACTGCTCTTTGCAGTAAGTCAAGTCTCCCACCTCCCCCTAGACACTTTGAATCTGTTTGGGACCATTTAAGCCCCCACCAGAATCTTCTCCCCAGACCCTAATTTTAGCCCCCTGGTTACAGGGGAAGAGTGCCTTAGGGCAGGTAAACACATCCAGAGGAAAGATATAAGGGTATCACTCTGTATAACCATCAAAAGATCCAACTAGAACTTTTGGCATCACAGGTAAATGTCTTTCTAGGGACACCCACTGTCCCACTGTGCACTCACCCAGCCCCTAGACACACAAGCACACACACCCACACACACCCGCGTGCGCGCGCGCGCACACACACACACACACACAC